GCTCCCTGCACAAGCAACAGGCGCATGGCATTGATCGCACCAGCCTGGCCGCCGCATGCAGTGACAGGCCCACTTGACGCATCTAAACACAGAAGTGTTAAAGCACTCTCTCTAAAACTCCCCATCCTTTAAATACCCATAAAGCAGCCATAATGTCCTTATTCTCTAGCGTTTATTTACATTTGTCCAAGCCTTTATTTACAATCTTATCAGCTATAAGAATAACATAAAAAGCACCAACAAACAAACAAGCGGGAAAAAAATGGCGAACCAGTGCGTCCATGTTTGGGACCTGATCAAATCAGATACCAACCTGCTCCAGTGGTGCTGCGGATTCTGCCACGATGGCCCTAGGACATATATCTGGCAGTGTAGATACTGCACGGTCAAGGCGTGCCGCCAATGCGCCGGCGTCTAATCTCTGCCACAGCACGGCTCCCACCGGCCGGGCCAGGGCAGGCAACCGCGCTGGCGGAAATGTCACAGGCTGATGCGGCCGACCGTGGTGTGCAACGATATTCGGGAAGCCTACGGTAGCTAAGAGATGAGACCCTCTTCCAAAGGCATTCAGGAGTCGCGCACCTAGAGGTGAGCTTACGGTCTGGAAAGTTAACCCCTTGCTAACCCCTAAATATCCAGCTGGTCGCGCCTCGATCAGCTGGGGTTACAGGCGCGGGCAATTGGCCTGGCTGATGCTTTCCGCCGAAATGCCGATGGACTACGACCAAAACGGCTCGACCAGCGCGAGCCGCTCGGTCGAGTTCCGGAACCGCTAAACAATATACCCACTAGGCACCGACCTTCGACAAGGACGGCGGCTCGGTGGTCGTGGGGATGCAAAAGGGAGGCGCAACGAGGGGTTCAGGGGAAGTCGGGGATGGAGAAACGATTTTCCGGCTAGTCTTTAACTCGTTCCGCAACGGGCCAATAAAACGCGATAAGGCGCGATAAGGCGGCGCCAAGCGGGGCGGCGGAAATACCACGTGCGTGCCGTTGTGTCATAGCTTTGTGCCCCGCATGCCGCCCGACCTCAGCAGGTGTTCGATCCCGGCTCCGACAACGGCCACGTTCAAGATCCGTCATGGATCCCCCATTCAAAGTCGAGCGTTTGCCGGGTATGCGGGAAAGCGCTGATAGAGTCCGCTTTTCTGCCCGAGACATGACACCGGTGAAAGAGGGGGGAGGCCTATGGCGGTTGCCGAAGTCGTATCTACTGCAACCAGTGAAGAATCTTGCCTCGTTATACAACAGGGAATATGTAAGTCGACAGGTTTACCCGACTAATAACCGTGCTTTACGGCTGCTAACGGTGTTTAACGAGGTGTTAAGTTTAATACCATTGTTGTTGAACAAGTTAAAGCTAAAGGGCTAAACATTTCCTTCGATAACGCCATGGAGTGCCTTTGGGTCGAAAACGGCCTGGTATTAAACAAGAATCAGATGGTGGTGATCATTGTGCTTCCAAAGCCACTGGAGCATAAAATGCCACGAGGATTGGAAGCCTTGATTGACGACCACCCAACGCCGGAGGACCCGCAAAGGTTTGGTGCCGACGTTTAGAACAACGTTATAGGCTAGCAACTGCTAACCAGCTATATTTTAATAGCAGCCAAGCCGGGGGGCTTGATGGGGATCAGGTCGGAGGAACAATCGCTATCGAAACGCTGCGAAAAAATCCCACGGTTTCGCTTAGCAAGTCGAGAGTAAGCACCGGCCCCGAAGCCACCACGACCGTACGCGATTTTCAGCCCATAGAGCTACAAGCTGGTGACATCCTCCAGCTTTATGAAAACGAAGGTATCCACGTAACAAATGGGGGGATTGCTATGATGGCGCTTCGGTACAAAACGAAGTAACTACGTGGGAAAATAATCGGGAGCAAAACCATCCTGAGTATCGCTAGGTAGACTCTCTAAAAAGTCTATGCCCTCCCACCATCCGTTGTCTGGTTCAGGTATCTGGTTGCCATGCGAAACGTTAGCGAATAGGTGCAAAATTTGTGGCTATCGCAAAGGTTGGGGTAGTTACGTGCCGTGGCTTCGTTAAGTAGTTGGTCAGCTGCGGGAGGCACTGGATGCTGCGGGATTTCGGAGGCAGAA